ATGCTCGAGATTAGCATAACCCATTGTACGAAGGTGTTAAAAGCTACAAGAACCAATGTTTGTGAACAAATATTGACAAATGATCATGAGGTAAAGCTAAAACAACAGCGTCGTGGCTCCATCCGTTAGTACCTTCCATGGTATGTCGGCGAGAAAAGGGTCATTACAGAATAACATTCTCTACCGACATTTTATTATCTCAGTAATATTGTTGTGTTTTTTTCATCAAGAATGCTGGAATGGTCCTGACGGCGCAGATTATCGAGGAACTTTTGCTACCACTATGAGTGGTACTCCTTGTACGAGCTGGTTTGCAAAGGTTCATAGAGCACACATCTATGGCGACGCAGGTCTAGAAAACAATTACTGTCGTAATCCAAATGGGGACACACGCCCTTGGTGTTATGTTAGTGACCATAGTAATGATTTCGAATATTGTTATTTCGAAATGTGTGGTAGGTGAATTTTTTTCTCCTTCTTTTTCATCGTTATTAAAACTATTTCAAGGAGAATTTAACAGATTGCCATGTGTATTGCTTGTATACTTGTATATTCCCACTTTATTGATAAGTGTATGTTGCTGATCACCGCAATGACGTCACTAGGTCGTAGTACATCGTCACTTGCACATATCAACAACAACATCATAAAGGTATTTGATTGATGATTTGTATTTATTCAATAGCAACAGGAGGAGGTTCGGGTGATCCACACATGGTAACTTTCGATGGTGTCAAATATGATTTTCAAGGTTTTTGTAATTATATTATCGTCAAGGACTGTCAACATTCTGGTCATTATAATTTTGAAATTATTGCTGATTTTCGTGGACGTGATCAACAAAACAAACCACCGACGAGAATGGTGGCCATAACTATAATTACAAACAAGATTCCAGTAATACGATTGCTAGAAAATAATTCATTTTTGGTAAGAAAACAAATTATCATTTTCAGTCTGAAATTTCACAAAATAGAAAGTCATAGTCATTTTATTTTATATATCGACGATAAACCGTATAATGGTATGAAGAAGTACGTGACTAAATCATGGTATTTTCATTTCATAGATTGGCGATAAACCGTACAATGGTTCAGAAGTATTTACTTCTGAGTTTGGTTCCGTTACTCCAAGAGGTAACACTCTTGTTGTTAACCTAATTCCTATGAAACTATTTCTGACATGGAATGGTAAAATTCACAAGATTACAGTGCAACTCGAAGATCCAGATATGTATGGTAATGTATGTGGTTTGTTGGGAAACTCTGATGGTAATCCCGATAACGATTTCGTCAAACCAGATGGCTCTATAACCCACGATGCTGAGATATTTGGGAACAGTTGGGCTGTGCCAGGAAGGTGAGAAGAGTATTCATATATTTTATATTTTATAATCTATAATCTATGCCTAAAAAAACCATAATTTTGACATATAGTGATTTGAAACACGAAATTGTGCGTTTTACTTCCGGTAGGGGGGGGGTACTCACATTGAAGTGCTATATGTATATGTGCCACCAAAAGGGGTCCCAAATTCACCACTTCTGTCTGAAAAGGCGTATGTTATTTGACTCTGTCTGTCTGAAAAGGGGTATTCTTTTATAATTATTTCTGTCTGAAAAGGGGTCCATATTTTCTAAATGCTGTCTCTAGAGCTTGAGTGATTTTTTTCTTTCTACAACTTCATCTCGATCGTCGAGGTCTATCCCCGGGAGTCCATCAGCTTTTCCCTTGGTACCATTTATGCTTACTGTCTGGAAAGGGGTGTCAAATATCCACAGTTTGTCTGAAAAGGGGTAGGCAATTTGAGTTTATTTCTGTCTGATAAGGGATAGGGGTTTCAAACAACCAGCTACACACTCCTGTCAGTAGTTTTTGCAAGTGCCCCCCCCCCTCCGGGGGAGTTTACTGTTATCGAAATATCCAAATAAACATTCAAGTACAAGTTAAATAAAGTTGGACAAAAAGAAAATTTTCAATGTAATATTGAGCAAGATTCTGTGTAACACCATTCATTTCTTACTTGATATTTTTTGCTTTTCCAGCTGCGTGTAACTACCAACCTATCTTCTCAAGTACAGTAACGAAGAATGAATTCTGTTTTGCATGCAGGTGATGGGTACATTTTATCGAATATAGTCCTGTTACACAGTGTTTCTCGTTAATGGCTTTTTATTCACTTCTTTATGTAGTGGTTGACAAATAAACGCATAGACGCATTATGCTATGATTATTAGATAGTGTTTTTTTATTGTAAAAATGTCGACCAACGAATTCAGATTTACGTGTAGTAAAACATTTTTGACAGCTTTTGCATATTCATAAATATGATTTGACCTTTGCCAAAATTGTACTCAGTGTTATAGCAAAATAACTAAACAAGCAGCCTCTTAGCTGAGATAGCTCCGCGGTCAGCAATGATTAGCAATTAAAAAACTGAGGATATCAAAGCGAAAAGTTGCCACTGACTACAAACAATCACTTATATATCATAAGTTCCGCTCGACAAAGTCGACAGCGTAGCTATAAAAGGTAGCTAAGAAATTCACCTTCAAGATAATTAATTTTTACACGAACGACGTTTGTCTCAAATGCAATTATTATTATTTTTATTATTTATCAATTGAATTAATTAGTATTAAATCTGTCAAAGTCTTCCCAACATTTTTTTTTCAAGTTTTACAAATCCATGTCTAGACAAAGCGAGCAAAATATGGGATCTATTGCTGATCCTCATATGTATAAATACAGCATGATCGCTATAGTTATTCAATACCCCCTCTCCAAATTATACAAATTATACTACGAAACCTCAAAACGCTATCCAATCCCAATAACTCGTAACGTAAGACAAATGTGTATATTCAATAGGGTATGTTCAGGGGTACAGAAATGGATAATGAGTGTGTCTTTTAATATATTATTTATTTCCGGTGGTTGCGGCACACCCTAAATGCAAGTACAAGTAATAACATACTTTATAGTTAAAAGGTTTATATATAGAAAGTACTTACATATTATAAAATAAGAATGATATTCATTTTCAGGGACCGCCGTAAAAAAACATATGAAACAATAATTCGTCGTGGGGTGGATTTGTATAACTTACATTTTATTTTCACCTTTATATAAAAATATCAGTTTCAATCTAATTTTACAATGAATTCTACACAGGAGTATCGTATCTTTTGTTAACCATATATTAAAATCCAAGTTAACGGCTACAGATGCTAAAATATTCCATGAACCTTGTTCATGCTGTTGTATATAATGATTCAAAATTATTGATCACTCATTAATAAGCTTATCAGAGATTTATTTACACGAGTTTCAATTCATTTTAGAAAACTGATAGCATATGATAAAATGTAGTAGTTAATTAGTTAATATGACAATTAAAATATGAGTTCACAATCGGTGTTAGGTAATTCAACTACAGAAAGAGTATGCATGTATCGTTTTTTTCAATCTACTGTATTTGAGCTAACTGTTACTTAATCATTTAAACAGCTTGAAGGTGGTTGATCAGTATGTACACTAGTTGATTGACTAATATTAACAAGTTAATATTTAACTACACACACATATGTGTGCACCAACTTCCCATAAATTTGTGTAAATTTAAAAAAACTATAATAAAAATGGTTATTTAATAGGTACATATTAAGTCGAAACTATTATAAAAAATACATCTGTGTGCCATGTTTGCATTAGTCTTATTGCTTTTTTCTTGGAATCTATGCATTTGAAAACTTGCAATTACTTATATGATGAATTGTGTTTTAACCCAAAATTCAGAAATGCCAAAGTTGGCTGTTAAATTTCTATCTACTCTAACAGATGGAAGTATACAAAGTGTTCACGTGGTCATGTGCAGTTGAAATAATGTGTCCATCAAAACATTCCCGCTTATACAAGATTTGATTTATTATTTCATTTTCTAGTAAATTGGATTGCAGGTTTTCATCATTTTCCAAGGATCCAAAGTCCACGCACGTCAACAAGAGAGAAAATGAAAAAATGTTAACTCTGTTTCTTATCTAAAAGGCGTAATGATTAAAATATTTGAAAATAAAACAGAAAAAAAAATCACATTTCTTTGTACATGCGAGGGCCGAAGACGACGCATTCAGCAGACTAATTGCGAGGAAACAGAGTAACACGATATTTGGGTGGCACGTGAACAGGACCAAAACTTCCACTAGTCACGTGACGTAGGTTGTCATCTCCATCGACATCTTGAAATGAGAACTTCTTCAATAGTGAAACAAATATGAGAAACAGGTTCATATTGGCTAGTTGTTTACCCATGCATTCTCGCCGCCCTGTAACCAAAACGACAGTTGTAGTGTTAGGTACATGTTTAATTTACATATGTTGCAGCGCAAGTAGTATGTTAATTAGCTTATAAACATAAATATTCATTAGTAAGATATTTACATCGTGGTATAAAGATACCCTGGGTATTTGAGTTATAGTACCATGTAGGTAGCTGCAATATGTATTTATTTGATTTGAATATATCTGAAATTCATGAAAGAAGCCAAGACTTTGGAAGATCTTATATGCTGTCTGAGTTACGTCAGAAACGAGAAAGATGGTTAGCAAATGTGTGACATGTGAGAGTTGACTACTTTGGTTCTATAGATGTACAACTAAAAAGGAGTTTCGTGAAGCATTATAGTTCACTTTGGCGGGGTATGGGAACGACAAATTCGTACGATTCGACAACTGTTGCAGGTCGTGGTAAAGCAGCAACAATTAACTGATGAAAGCCGGAGGACATTTCTATGCGGCGGTAGAACACACAATTACTAGTAGCTCAATAACCAAGCCGTCAGAAGACAGCAGGGACTTAGAAGCATTAATACCCAACATGCTGCTAAAAATGAAAGGATCTTCTCTGCCACCAGGTCTAAGTGAGAAGAGTGATGTATATGAAGTACATAGATAGAAAAAAATACAATACCTGCTTGTACAATACTATTTTGGAAACGATAGACAAAGAGTATCTACCTCCACTTCAAAGTATGGGACGTGGTGTTGGTGAAAGATGAAAATACTGCAAGTGATGTCAGACCAAAAGGGAGCAGTAAGAAGAGTACATGTGAAGACTCAATCCTGGAGAGGCCATACGATAAGCTCTGCACACTATTGGAAGCAGAGTTGTAATGGCGCGAAATAGTATATTGATACCATGCTGAATATGAAACTGGTTAGGGCGAGTAGTTTTTGCCAGTTTGGCATTATAATATGTTGTACTTAGAGATATGGATGGATGGATGGATGGATGAATGAAGATGGAGTCCCGTTGAACCAAAGTAAGGTCGATGACCTTACGATGTTGCAGCATGGTACAGAAATTGTTTATGGATGTAAGCCAGAAGACTATATAGATTGCGATTGAGTTGAAATATATTTGTACTTTTAAATCTTATTGAACATCGCGATAGAATCCCTATATGTTCATGGATTTTTATGTGATTCTCGAAATTACTTGCTTTTATTATAGTCTTGGTAACAGAATTTGTTTAAGTTAGAAATTGACATTTTGTTAAGGGCTATTTGAGGGCTGGTGTTGAGTTTTTTTTGCTGTTTTTGAAGATGTATTTAGAGCGCCAACTAGAATTCAGATTTGTTAATCATTGGAACCGCGTTGGGAACTGTCTTGTGGCGGGTTTTTACGAGCGTGTTTTTGTGCGAGTTACTGTAATTTAGGATTAGAGTTAAAAGAACGAGCAGTGTTGTCAGAATAAACAAGCCATGATAGGATCTGAGGTGTCCACGTTTAATTATTGACGGAAATGTGTTAAGCTGCAATTCATCATTTCTCGTATTGAGCTCATGAGGGTTGCCCTGTAAACCTATAGTTGTTTGGAGAACTGTGGAAATTCTCGCGACTTCACTGCTACTAAATAAAGCATCGCATCACAGTTGGTACGTCGCACGACCGCATAAAGCCATTGAGACCACATACACCAGGTACACCAGGGTCACTGATATTTACCTATAGAAAATGGTATGTATGCCTCTATTGTTTTCACTCGACCATTTTCATCCAAAAATCTGTCAGGTCGAAATTCCTCAGGATTATTCCAATGGATTTTATCATAATGCACTGACCAGATATTCATAAATATTGTTGTACCTTTGGGTATGACGTAACCATTCAATTCAATGTCTGTCATCGCCTGTAAAAAAATGGAATCACATAATTATTTTGGTCAAGGTTGTTTGGTCAACTAAATGCCGAGTACGATCACGTGCGCCCATAAAACAAATAAAGCGCATTTTAATCATAAATACATGTACGCCCTCTATAGCATGACAACGTCTGCAAATCTTGGCGGAACAGGTCAAGACAAATACGACAATTATGTATGTGTATGTTATAGAAGGACTTTTTTGTTCAGTTCAGTTCAGTCATTCGCAATCGATGCTAAAATGCAAAAAATTGCATGGTTTGTTTATTTTGTTATTTTCTCCGCCAAAGGTGGTTGTTTTTGGTGGCGTTGTTTTCTGTAAGCAGGATAACTCAAAAAGTATTATATGAATTCTCGTAATAATTCGGTAGTTGCCCTTGATACAAGCACGAATGGATTATCATGACATTGTCAGAAGAGGATTTCCTTGATATAAACTTATTGATTACATTTTGTTTTGGTAGAGTGAATCTGCAAAAAAAAAATCGGGAAGTTTTTTTATTCATAGCTCATGAACGGACCAATCGATTAGATATGGGCAAAAATTCAGATATTCTTGGTATTCAGGCTGTTGTTTATTCACAACTCAAACAAATATGTCGTCGCGTCGCGTTCTGCTCGATGTTGTTCTCATAATGACATACTAGTATACAACGCGTGTATTAAAAATACATTCATTGTTTACATGAACTTTGAACAAGGCGCTGCGCGAACCACTGTCCCTTAAAAAGAGGTTATAAATGGATTCTCGTGACATTTTCAGGAGTACCAAAAAAAGTTGGTTCAGATCTGGATCTCGTTACCATAGAAAGTGTGTCTACATTGTCCTGGTTAAAATGCAAGTGACGTAAATGACGTCACACTTACCTCGTGTGGGCCGCCCATCCAGGCGACACTTGCATGACGGGATATTTCCTTCAAACACGCATCTGTGTAAGGCATTTTGTCTTTATGACGCATATTTGGGAATTCATCTTCGGCAAGAACGCTGTCAATCTCACTTTGTACTCTGCGTTGAATATCCGGGTATTTTATCATATATAAGAACATCCACGTAAGGGTGAAAAAAGTCGTATTGATTCCACCGATAAACAATTCAAACACCCCTTGTGAAAGATTGTTATGTGTGAATGAGCTTCGTGTACCGGAAATGATGTCCTCTTCCATTCTCGCGAGAAAAGCGTCGATAAAATCTTTCGGGGTTTCCTTGACGAAATCTTTCTTGTGCTCCTGAATCTCTTTCTTCGCATAATTCAAGATGGCGTCGTATGGTTTGTAGATTCGCTTGTACGCAGGCGTTGCGACATGCCGCAGAAAAGGGAAAAAATCAACAACCGAGGTGCTAGCAACATTATCACTAAATTCGTCGAACATCTGCAGAAGATTTTGTAAAACAGGATCGCTATATTCAAACCTGCGACCAAAACATAGGCAACTAATCACGTTTCCCACAGCATTTTGCAGGTGTCGGGGCAGGCTAATCGGTTTTCCTACTTCGTCCAGCAACGCGTTACAGAGGGCGTTTGCTTCTTCTTGGATGCGGTCTTCCAGCAGTTGGTTACCCAGACGACGATGAAAAGCTTCCACGACAAAGTTGCGTTGCTCCCGCCATTCGTCGTTGTACTGTTGTGCTGCAATGCCTGGAACAACATTTGTATGACAAATTACGCAGAAATGTAAGTTCAATTCGAGTGGCAGTCATTCATCATTATTTATAAAATGGGAGTACATTTGTTTTGGATAGCTCAATAAAATAAGATGAACTAAGCCACGTATTCCATAAATTGGGTTGTACCATCGACTCTTAAATTTGCCAATGGACGTTCTAGATTTTTCGGAGTTATGGCGTGGTATACACTGATAAGATCAAAGAATCCACAACAACATTAACAATTATGCGACAAATTAACTACAAATTAATTAATCAATTGTATAGAACAAATTAGTTAAGGTAGCGAGAAGGTTTTGTGACGTTTTTAAATAAAACATTCTTTGTCTGTTGTCTCGTTCAGAACAGTAATTTAGGTTATATATATATCAAAAGACTAAGTATAGAGGTGCAAGTTCGCACAAACTGGACAGACATTGTTTACATAACTATCACGTGACATCAAAAATGGCGAACCTTG